AGGTTAAGGTATTCATCACTGTTTGTAATAAATATTAGCAACTGATTATTAATTACTATTATGATTATGTTATGAGGCTTGAGGTGAGGTGTGTACTGTGTAGAGCAGCGAATTGAAGGAGCTGCAAAAGCAAAAAAGGAAGGGCAGGGCAGGGCAATAAATGTGGAGGGAGGAAGAGATGGATGTGGCCAAAAGCCCAAAATTGTGAAGTAATTTATTTATATCGTCTGGTGGATGGCTTTTCCTTTGGCTCGCTTCGTTTCTTTCTAGTCTTTTCCTCATAATATTAATATTTCGCCAAGTCTTTTGGTGCTGCATGTGACCCCTTGCAGACAAGTTCCCACCCTATTAATACTGCATTTCCTTATATACCTTCATTGCGCCACTAAGATATGTATCCTATATTAATTGAATACGCCTATCGGATACATGTATATTATGGCAAATTATAAATTCAACAAGTTTAAAGTTGAATTGAATTGAGCTTTTAATAACATATATATATTCGGCTTATTACTAAAATTCCATTAAAACACACACACACACACCCTCACAAATAACGTATATATATGGCGAGCGGAGATTTGTGGCCATAAAGATTTTGATTTTTTATTAGTGTGTAATATTAATATGTTTTTTATGACAAGTTTAATTGGGAATCACGGGTTTTTATGAATTTTTCTAGGAAGCAAATTTAACAGTTAGTTGGGGTTGTTAAAACTTCAATCAAGAGGTCATGTGTCAATTAAAGAATTAAAAATAGACTTTCCAACGTCTACTAACTTTTGATATAATTCACTAAAATTATGAAATTTTGGATTTACTGTGTTTATTTATATTGTTAGAATTCATAATTTTTTTTAACTGTGAATAGTAAAATTGTTTTCTAAAAATTGTAAATATCCCTCGCATTAAATGATTTTGATGCATCATTAGGATCCAAAGTTACTCTTTTATTGATACTTACCTCTTTTAATAACACTAAAGATGCATCATTAGGATCCAATTTTTACAAGATAAAAGATATTTGTTTCACTAACACAATTAAGATTTATATTGCTAAAAAGTTCACAATATACATATTTCTTTTAATTGTATATTTCAAATATTAAATATAAATATCTCAAAATATTTATATTGTATTAGTTATATATTTTATGTATTTTTTATATTTTATCCCAAACCAATAACATCCAACCTCATCCTTGTGCTCTTCCATTCCATCATTGAGAGTCCCAGATTCGGCTCCCAGAGAGCTTATTTTTGTCGACGAAAAACAATAAATCCCGTTCTCTGAGTACGTTTCTTAATTATATATATGGCACATGATATTGAATCCACAAATATGGAAGAGTGAGTCAAGAGTGCACGAGGAAGAAAAACTAGTAGTAAAAATGAAATGAATGTTGAATTATATTAACATATAGCAATTTTCAGGTTCCCAGTGATAAGCGATTGAAATGGAAAAGAAATAGCAAAGCAATTTTTATTTTTTGAGAGTTCTTCGTATTTTGATTTAATTTCTTGAATAATTTCATGAATTCTCAAATCCAACATATAATTAACTTCTTTAAATTTTTCCTTTCCCGAATATAGTTTTTTTATGAACATTTTCCAAACATGTTTAGCTTGACTCTAATGAAACTATAGCAGATCAATGTGTATCTGCAAAGAGCTCAAAATAAATCACATTATTTATGAACCTGTAAACAATACTTTTTAAATTAATATACATTGTAATGTTTATTGTTTTCTGTTTTCTTATTTTTCATTGGAACTGCTTGTCATGGAAACAATTAAAGCTTATCACGTTAATACTGAGAAAGTGTGTGGCGTACCATGAGTTAAAGTTATCGAATAAATAATGAAAAATGTCCTTCCTCCCGAAAATAAACGTTAGTGACTTACTTCTGTTTTTGGTTTTTGTTTAATACCGAGTCTTCATAATAAATTTTCGGCCAATATAGTACGTAATATTATTTGAAAACAAAATTCAAGCTATCACTTTACGTCCAGCTTTTTTTTTTTTTTTAATTTGTTCTCCCTATCACCCTTACGAGGCTTTTGCCAGTTCGCAGGACACATGTGGAAATCTGTATGTGATTTTAAAATTTTAATGAGTTATATTATTAATTAACCATAATTAATACAGTTTTATTTCTAAATCTTGTGCAGTACATACATAAATTGCTTTGTAATATATACTAATAGTTTGTCTATCTCGTATATTCCCAGAAAGGAGCCTTATTCTGTTGAGAAAAAAAATGATGTATTGTATAGCGAGTTTAAAATGAATTATATTATTTGTAATTTGTGAAGACATGACTTGTCAAGTTGATGATATGCAGATTTCAAGAGATATACAGATTTTAAGAAGACCTCCTGAAGAGGGGAACTAAACTTTTCACACAGCGCATATAATCCTATGTCGAGTTCAATAAAAAGATAAAATGAAGCGAAATATTTCTTGACACAATTTATTCTGGTGTCTGCTAGAAAATGAGTTATATTTTCTGGAACTAGTAGTCCCCTCTCAGAGACTAATATACATGATTTTAATTTCAAAAGCTGACGGTCCCTGCCGCCCAGCACAATCGCATTCAATATTGATTTGCTACGTAGAAACTACGATGTCTATCATTTTTTTTTTTTTCCAAATAAGAGTGATGATGAGGGTAGATCAAATAATTTCTTTTAGCACAACGAACAGTTCCATGCACTTGCGGGACTCATTCATATATTCTTTGCGGGGGCTTATTTTATTTTAATACTACATGAGAATCCTAACAGGAAATTAATAAAATGTTTATCAGTCATTTTCAAAAGTGATTTTATTCTTCTTAATACTCCTCCAGTCCTTAATATAAGACCCATTTAACTAATTTGATTAGATTAAGGAAGTTAGGTAAGTTAGTTAATTATAAGAAAAGTAACACATTTTTTCTAAAACACCATAATCATCTTTCTTAATACCCTCTCTCCCTCTTCTACTTGATTTTAATTAAGGGAGTATCTACAGGGGTAATTTAGAGAACATTAATAAATATGAGAAATGGGTCTTACATTTAGGATCAAAACTAACTCAAAAATTGGATCCTATATTAAAAACCGGAGGAGCATTAACTAATGGCTTTTTCATTTCCCATGATAAATTACAACAATGAAATACAGGATACTTCTTAAATGCTATACGAATCTTTTAGACTCAACTAGTTAATTTTTAATCGAGCACAAATTAAGAGCTTTGCTTTCCTTTTATTATTATTATTATTATTATATTGGAGAATTGGGGACTGAGTTTCAAATCCTCATATACAGTTACGTCTAGTGGCAGGTGCAACCAATTTGTCCAATGTCGTGAAAGATAATACGGGGAAATAGGAAACTTATTCTGAGTTATCCAAAACTAAAATTCAACAAATAATGGGTACGTACAACACCATATTGTGGCCCTCCCACGCATAAGTGTTATGAAAGATAATAGTTTCTCACGAATTAATGATCTTTTTATATCTAATTAAACAACTTAACCATCTGCTAATTTGCTAATATACTGGTGTAATATAAAACACTATTACCTCCAATTCTTAATATAAAAGCTAGTTGATTAATTTGCAAAAATTAATAAAATTTGTTAAGTAAGTTATTTGTAGCAAATTACTATCTTCTCTAAAATATCCTTACTAATCTAATATATTAGTTTTAACATTTGACAAAATCTTTAACATGTGTAACAAATACAATAATTACCTTGAACAAAATAAATAAATACGAGAGACAAAATGAATTAAGGTCTTATATTTAAAACCAAATTAAAAGTTAAACTAACTTTTACATTAAGAACAAGAGGTAGTATTAAATTAGAGTAACATTTTGCAATACTTCATTAGAGCTCTCAGTTTTGCAATAAGTCAGTTAATTTTTTTTAACAAACCATTCAAAAAGACTAATTTTAATTTCTTTTATGTTGCTTTTTTTTTTTTGGCATGTTACAACTATAAAATGGGGAAATAACTTTCAATGCCCGCGGGCCGTGGCACTTGGCAACGGCCATCAATCACATCTTCACAACTCAAGAAAATGACAGGGAACATGGGCTGCCACCCAAGTAAATCTCATCAACAATATTAATAAATTAATAACCATAGAGAGCGATTTCATTATTTTTGTTTTTATTGGTGCTGTGGGATATTTCTAGCCCTTTTATTTATTAATCCATTCCTTTTCTTTTATATTTCCCCTTGTCCTTAATAAAAAACTAGATAACTAATTTATTAATATTAAAAAAATTAGTTAAGTTGGTTATTTATAATAAATAGATGTTATCTTCTTTAAAATATTCTTATTAAATGATATGTATTTAAATTAGTTCTTGATAGTAACTCAATCATTATAGGTATTACTTGAGAACAAAATAGATAAATATTAAAAATATATTAATTAAAATTTTATATTTAAAATAAAATAAAATTTTTAATTAACTCTTACGTTTAACAGCGGTGATAGTAATAAACTAGCAAAGCCCAATGCGCCCAGCGGACTTTTTGGCGAAAGAAAAGTTCAAGCAAAGCATCTATCTAATTCAAAAAAGAAAAGATGATTGTTTTAAAAAGGTACTAATTATAAACTAATTACAAGATAATCAGCGAGAAGTAATCTCTTAATTTTATGTGAATTTACTGTTGACTTCTCCTTTTATTTTTTGGTTGCTAAAGCACAGGCATTCCCTATTAAAGGTAATCTCATTCAAGGTACTGTCGAGTATTAAATGTGAGTACTTCTCCCAGTGGGGATTCAAATCTTAATTTGTTATGTTGTGAGAAACTAGTCCCTTCCGCTAGACCCAATCCTATTAGTTGACTTCTCCTCATTAGATGTAAATGGGCAAAAACCAAGAAGGCCCATAGCTTCTTTGGTCTTCTAGATATGACGTAGTCCATGTACGGAAAAGAACGCAATAAGCCCAATAGAAAGCCCAATCGATTCCGAACATCGAGCTCCCTGGGAAGTGAGTCTCAGCAGTTCCAGATTCCGATGGAGAAGGAGGCCGGGCATGCAGACAGTGCCGTGGATCCTTGTTCTTTCAAGCTCCTGATCTCGTGTCCCTGTGGTCTTTCGCCCTCGCAGGTTTGTTTCAACCTCGAATCCTCATTCTTATGACATCTAGATGTGAATGCGTCTTGCTCAAATGTGACTTGTCCTTCACGCATTTCTTGCTTGCTTAAAGGTTTCTGTGGTGTTCAGCGATGCCTGCGATCGGATTCCCCACCCTGATGCTAACCTGGAGAGCACAATCGCTGAGGTGTGTCGTATTCGTCCCTTTGATCTCTTGCTGTTGCTTTTCCGCTTGCACAAAACATTACTGCTGATGGCATGTTGCTTAAATTGCTCGGTTTTTAGTGCTGAACATTTGGATCTTTGTTCATGATTAAATTTAGCGAATATTCGATTTTTATCGCAGAGTCCAGATTTAGTTTACTGAATAACCATCTTTATGCTTAGTTACGATTTCTATTTTGTAGATATGGGAGCAGAGGAGTCAGAAAAACAATTCACTCTACAATGGCAAGAAGTTCAGGGTATTTCGAGCCTTGTTCGACTTGCATCATGTTATTTTTTTCCCGAACTAAACAATACTTTTTGCTAGTTAATGCGTGTCAAGCATTATGCGCTAATATTTTAACTATTTGTTTTCTTGGCTACGGTTAATATATAGATAGAAGTTAGATGAACATTGGACTTTTTAAATACAACATAATTTTAGCATGAGATTGACACAGCATCTAACGGTCTTTCTCTTACAGTATGGGGGGTATATGCTGCAAAGGGGAAGCGGATCTGACCACGAGCTTCATGTATGCCTCCACCTTGGTTTGACGGATTATAGGTTTCTTCTCTCCCTCTATTTTCCAAGTTCTTGCCCCATTGTCTTTATTTACTTGCTTGTCATTGTAAGTTATAGTGACTTACGTATGCCTGTGCAGTTGACCAGTGATTTATAAATTATCCATTCTTGATTTTTTGTTGTTGACATGATTTCTGACATTTAAAGAAATGTAATTGAATCTGCTATGCTTTTGTGACTAATAATTTGTAAATGTTCCATCCTTGAAAGTATTCGTGTTAAACGTGATTTGTTACATTTAAAGGGTGATTTTCATTAGTTATAAAATTTACCTTCAAAATTTGTTCCTTAGATATTTTTCTGATCTTATTGCCTTCTATTAGTCATAAACAGTCATGTTTCTGACTTGCTATATTTGTTGATTATTGAAAGTGTTGTACAGAAAGGATATATCTTCTCAATAGAGCAAGAATGTTCTGATTATATAAGCGGCAACGAAATTGCAAAACAAAAAATAAATTGGCACTTTTCAAGTATATATATATATTTTCTGCTAGGAACAGTTGTAAAGTTTATTTACACTTGACCTCTATCCTATTTAATTAGCGTTAAGTTCATTTGAATTTGTTTAGAAGATATGGCTCTGAATAATTTCTCTGGTGGTGTCACTTAGCGAAGCAGAACTTTATTTTCTTACTGTTTGCTACTATTATTATTTACATATAATCCACGTTTCTTACATTCAGCAAGTATTGTTTGAATTTATCCAGGACTTTCGTTGGGACAAATTTAAGTCATCTGTGGAAACGGTTCCTGGTTTCATCAGAAGGTATATTAACACCCCCTCCCTCCTATCAATAATGGAGACCCTGTGATTCCATAGTTTTGGGTCCTTTAATTTATGGGAGCGTGTGATCTAACTTCTGACTATCGGAGTTATTTAGTGGAGCATGACTATGATTGGTCTGCAAGTGTGATGACTGTCAACCAGAAGTTGCATGCCATTGACGTGCTACAATATTTTATCAGGAGGTCAAAGGGCGAGTCAGTGAAAATTTGCATTTGAGGTAGTTAGACAGATCTTTCTGTTGGCCCACGTGGATCTAGTGGACTGTTATGTTAGAATTTTTTGAACATATGATCACCTATTGTCCACTCTGCCCCAAAAGCAGAGGAGGTACTGGTAGTACCAGCAATCATTGACCACTAGGGGTATGGCTCTTCACACGATAACCATGAACATGTGATATGATCAACTTCAAGCAGGGTAGTATAAAGATAAGAATTATACACAATTTTGTTGCTTCATGAAGTCCTTTAGAAGTTCAATTACTTTTTTGGAGCCAGAAGACGGAGAAGTTCATTTTTAATTAGCCGATGCAGGAAGAGAGTGCATCTAAGTCAGATTCTTTACAATTTAGCGTTTATAAGGACAAAGTAGGCACAGTCCTGTCAAATTTTTCTTGAACATGGTGTTTTCATTTGTGAATTGGTTTTATTACTTTAATTAAGAGTCTTAATGACAAATTGTATGATGATGGAGGTAATCAGATGGGTCAAAATAGATAAGCTTTAATTTTTTATCCTTTCCATTGGTGCTAATTGATGTTACCGATAATTTTAAGTGCTTCCATCTTTCTGTTTTTTCAGATGATTCTGTTCTTTGTCAGCACACTGCCAGTCCACTGGGAAATGGTGCAATTGTGGAGACTATTGACGAGAAGATACTTGTATTGCAACGAAGTAACAATGTTGGTGAATTTCCTGGACATTTTGTTTTCCCAGGAGGTCATCCGGAGGTATTTAACAGAGAAATAAAATTTTAAATCTGTTAAATGGCTGCTAATTAGTATCAATGCAATTGATTTATCTTTAATATTGATATCAATTTAAATGGAGCAGATACTTCTGAAATTGCTCTTTGATTTGTTTATGGGGGCATGATATCCTTTGTGCGGCGATATCTGCTTATTCATGTGGTAGAATGACTACTGATCAAAAGCACGTTGTTCCTTCCAATATATGTCAGATTAACAACTCTTATTTTGACTGGAATTTATTGTGAAACTTCTTTTGATTGGCAGCCTCATGAAATTGGAGTAGCTTCCCATCAACATAGCAAGGAGTTAACAGAGTCTATTAACAACAACGTTTCCCGTGAGATGTTTGACAGCATAGTTCGAGAAGTAGTTGAAGAAATTGGGGTGCCAGCCTCATCCCTTGTAAGTCCCATTATTAATTTGATATGAATGTCGTGAACATATTGTAGGAAATGATTACTCTTTCCTCCATATGTTAGCTATGGCAGACATCATGAATCATATCTAAATTTGATCCTTTGTGTAATGCAGAGCATTCCAGCTTTCATTGGAGTATCACGGAGAGAATTGAATGTGAGACCAGCTGCATTTTTCTACATCAAATGCAGTCTCAATTCCAAGGAAGTTCAACAGTTTTATTCTAGTGCTCAAGATGGCTACGAGTCAACTCAGCTATATGCTGCCACAATGGTAATTTAATGCTCATTGTCGTTTAGTGTTAGTATGAGATCCATCCCTTGATGATAATGTGCTTGCTTGCTTGTTTTCATATACATTTAATTGATTTTAACTTGTTTCTACCTTGAAACTACTCATCAGTTTTGTATTTCTCAGGTCGACTTAGAAAACATGGCTTCCAAGATGCCTGGCTGTCATCGAGGTGGATTAGCCCTCTATAAATTGATGGCTGACAACAACCTGAAGAATACTTGATGTAAGTTTACGAGGACTTATAGTTGTCAGTCTTTGATGTTATGCTGAGTGTTACCCTGTGGGATTCACGATTTGGCATGTTAGGTATAGTTTCTATCTCAGAAGCTTACTCTGGCTGTTTATTGCTCCTGTTTAGCATGTAAGAACTGATATTTCTAGGTAGCTTACTCGTCTATATGTGATTCATTGATTCTTCACTTGCTTGTATACTGCATACGATCTCAGACTGATATACATATACTATACTGCATACGATCTCAGACTGATACACATATACATATAATGTGTTTTTGGGTTTTTTCCCGCTCCGGCTGAGTCAGATTTTGAACTCTTTCCTCGTATGTTTTTAAAGATCTGGCCTGATGAGTCCGTATCCCCCATGAAACTTATTTCATTATTAAATATCAAAGTGAATTGCCAACCGCCTCTTGGCGGAGTGGCACCTAGTGTGTGCGTGTGTTGGTAATGTGCGGGTTCGATCCTGCCCCTCATGTAACCAAAAATAAAAAATAAAAAAATATCAAAATGAATTATCACTTTAATAGTAATACTAATTCCGATCTTAAATATATGTAGGACCAGAAGTCGTATAATTGAACAAGTCTTTACTTCTTCAATTGGTTAACTTGAATTATTAGTATGTATGAGTTCCAAGTAAAAGTAACTTCGTCCATGCACGATTTTCTTTTTTGAGGGAAAGGGGTAGGAATAAAAAAAAAAAAAAGAAGGAAAAACTGGGGGGAAAGTTCCTCATTTAAAAGTCTCTCAGTAACAAGGGTGTGATAAATTTTTATGTGTAGAAAGTATTATTAGTCTGCAAATTTTGTATGCATAGATTACTAGTACTCTAATTTAAGTTTTCACCAACAAAATTTTTAATGGGTGGTTTAGTTTTTCTAAAAAAAGTATGCATATGTTAAATTTTAGTTGTTGTCGTATTAGGTTCTAGATCTCAGTGGCAGCCACATGTATGTGCTGACCGTAAAATTTTCATGTTTATCAATAATAGAAATAAAAATCGCAGTGGATAATTTTATCCTTCACAGTTCAGGCTGACGCGTAGGTCGTAGATCAGCAGAGTAAGAAATGGAAGCTTTCATTTTCACCCGAAAGGCCAAAACACAGATGAAAATTTTACGAAGTGTTTGGTACGTTGAATTTAATAAGGCGATAGAAGAACATTTTTACCATATAATTTTTAGATTGGGTTTAGCAGAAAGGGTTAATCTCTCACAATGTGGTAAACTAAGATTCGAATCCCCAATAAGAGGATACTTATGTTTTAGAAAAAAAAAACATAATTTTTGAAAGTTGGAAACAACTTTTTTTCATAAATAAAATAAAAAGGTCACCAGTCATGATTTTAATATGTTATAATTATATCTCTGTGTTGCATTTAGTCCCGCCTAATCCCACCGTTTTCATAAATTTAATTTAATCTCTATAAAGAGAAATTAATTTTTTTGACCTGATAAAAAGAAATTAATTTAATCTATACTTTTTCTTTTAAATTATTTATTTAGTTCATATTGCTTAATTTCTTACGATATTGCTGTTACTGGAAAACCATAATGTTTACTTTTATTGACGTGGACGATTGTGGAGTTAGTACAGTGATGCCCCGAACATGTATGATTTAAATTTTCAGGTCACGTGATACTTTCACAATATTTAAACATCTTAGTTTTTAAATGTATTCTGATTAATGTTTTTGATAGAACAAAAAAACGTATGAGTGATTTTTCAAGAAGAATTACTGTGAAGTTCCAAATAAGGAATATTATTATTAAAGAGTTTCAGTGACAATAGACTAGCCATAATAATAAGTTTCAGGATAATAAATGATATTTAGAATCTAATGACAATTAATTTTTTTTATTGTGATCTTGTTGTAATTCTTCCGTGTTTTTACCAGCGTTATGGCTCCTCTGGGTAATACAAAAATTAATAATAGAATTTAATGAAATAATGAGGAATTTTTTTGGCCCGGAAAATGGTCGGGAATACAATGTATTAACATAGGGCGTTTGACGCGATATCAAAAATATAAGAAAAAAATTATTTTTAGTACCCCTCTAGTTCTTAACCTAATTAATTAATTTGAGTAGGTTAAAGATATTAGTCAAATTAGTTAATATTATACTACATCTAATTTTTAATATAAAAATTAACTGACTAATTTAACTAGATTTAAAAATTGGTTAAGTTAGTTATTTGTAATAAATTTGTATTGTCTTTTTTAAAATGTCCTTGCACCTTAGAATTGATAAACATGAGAGACAAAGTGGATTGAAATCTTATATTTAAGACTAAAATAAAAGTCAAACAAACTCTTATATTAAGGATCGGAGATAGTATGTTTTTCTAAAATATCCTAAGTATCTTTCTTAATTCCTTTTCTACCTCTCCTATTTGATTATTGTTAGGAAAATATTAAAAGAATTAATTTGAAAAAAATTGATAAATATATGAAATAAGTCTTATATATATGATCAATATTAACTCCATAATTAGATCCTCTGTAAACACTGCATGAGTAGTTTATTCACTGAAAATAAAAACAAATGTTCCAATATACTCTGAAGCCTAAGTTAGAGACAGAGTGAAGGGAAGATGAAGAGTGGAGAGGGCATAGTTGTTCGGACGAGACTTCACATTCATATTAAATTGAATCAATTCTTTGCAATGTATATCCCTGTATGAATGTGAGCATGTAATCTTTTTTTCACCAACGTGAGCATGTAGTCTGTTTTGGGCCGGTGGGCACGTAATATTTTTCTCTCCAAGGCTTTGTTTGATTGGGGTTTTTTTGAGGGGAGGGGAGGGGGATGTGTTTGGTGGAGGGGAGGGGAGGGGAGCTAAAAAAATTTGTCCTTTTGTGCCCCTCTTCCCCTCTCAAATTGGGGGTTTTTGGAGGGGAGAGAAATATTATGAGAATCTTGACAAATATGCCCATGCCAATTTGTGAATATTCTAGTGGTGTTCTCTTGATATTTTTTTGGTTTCACATGATTACCTTCGCATTCCCTTCCGCGGTCGTTCAGTTACACACACACACAAATATAATATGCATATATGTTAATATATTAATTAATTATATATATTAATATATATTATAATTATAAAATGACACTGTTAATATCATATATATTTTTTATTTCCTAATATGTGAAGGGTATTATTATATAGTTAAGGTCTTGTCTTTTTTTCTCCCATTCACTTTTCTAATATATATTATATTTTTATTTCATAATTTTTTATCACATATAAGTGAGGTAATTGGTTTTTCTGAAATTGATAAATTCAGAAATAATAATTTTGATATAAATATTGTAATAAAAGAATAAATCAGTCTAAATATAAAGATAAGGGCATATTTATCAATGTATAATTCCCTCCCCTCCCCTCCCCTCCCCTCCCCTTGTGAACCAAACAAAAAATCTCCTCTCCCCTCCCCTCCCCTCCAACCAAACAAAACTTATGACCTCCCCTCTCCTCCCCTCCCCTTCCTTTAATTAACATCCCCTCCCTTCCATTGAACCAAACAAAGCCTGAAGTAAAGTATAGGTATCTATCTTATTCGAGACACTGTCAGGTATTAAATGTGAGCACTTCTCTTACGCTATGTTTGGCTCGACGGAGGGAAGGGGGGAGGGATTTTAATCAAGGGAAGGGGAGGGGAGGAAAGGGGAGGGTAGCTACAAAGGGGAGGGGAGAGAGGGGAGGGGAGGAAAGGGGAGGGTAGCTACAAAGGGGAGGGGAGAGAGGGGAGGGGAGGGGAGGGATTTTAATGATCTCCTGTTTGGATTGATTTGAGGGGAGGGGAGGGAGCAATTTTAATAATACCTTATTTTGTTCTAATAAAAAATTGACTATTTTAGCCTCATAAAATTTAAATGAATTTTCTCACTTTTTATTTTGTTAAGATATAACTATATATATATATAATACAATTCACTAATTTTGATTTACAAGATACAGTCACACACTTATAGAATATCAAGACAAAAAACTCACAAGTGATAGATTTCAATTAGAGAAAAGACCTTGAAGGTGAAAGAAAATACCAACGGCCTCTTAGAATTAGAAGAAGAGAAAAAAAGTTTACAAATGCTTACTAATTTTGGAGATAATTATCTTAATAACCTCTTATTAGATGCTCAAAAGAACTTTCTTATGTAGAAATGTTTATGACTGATTAGAAGTTAACAAATCAAAAGGGCATATAAGGAATTAAAATATCATCTCTCGTCTCCCCTCCAAAAAACCCCACTTTTGGAGGGAAGGCTAGAAGGGAAGGGGAGGGGAGAAAAACCCCTCCCCTCTTTAAAAAACATCTTAATCAAACGAGGGGAGGGGAGGAGCTCCCCTCCCCTTCAAAAAAATTATACCAACCAAACAAGGGGAGGGGAGCAACTTCCCTCCCCTCTCCTCCGAAAACCCTGTACCAAACATAGCGTTAGTGGAGATTTGAATCTTGGTTTGCCACACTGTAAAAAATTAATCCCTTCCGTAAGACCTAACCTCCGTTGATAGCATGTAATGTTAAATACTAGGAATCACTACCTCCAGTCATTAATATAAGAGCTAATTGACTAATTTAAATAGATTGAGAAAATCAATTAAGTTAGTTATTTATAATAAATATATGTTATTTTTTTAAATATATTTATTAATTAAGTGTATTTGTTAGAATTATCATTATTACAAAAAATATTGTGAAAAAAATAAATATAAAAAAATTTAATTTTATATTTAGAATTAAAATAAAAATTCGAACGACTTTTTTTAACGACGAAGGTGCAATGTCAGAATGAATTGAACCAAAGGGCTCCTAGCCCCAAGGCTTGCTTTGACTTGGTATGCTATGTTATTTACATTTTTTTAAAACAAAAAAAAAACTGCCCCCGGCGTAACTTCGTTTCTGGATGATGGAGCATGAACTCATAAACAAGTGGGCCTAAAATATACTTCAACTGGCCCAGCGGCAACTTCACTTGACTCCATGGGGCAGCGTAGATTTCTTGTTCTTAGACGAAAGAAATAAACCGAACACATTTTTTCTTGCGATCGAGACGCCACATTGGATTGAAGGCTCGGGAAAGCGGAATCTCTCACTAAAATCTGTGCGTTCGATCATGGATGATGAATTGCTTGAGCTGCAAAGACAATTCGAGTTCGCACAGCAGGCAAAGTCGAATATTCGATTATCGGAGCGTAATGTCGTTGAATTGGTTCAGAAATTGCAGGAGCTTCATATCATCGATTTCGACCTTCTTCACACCGTCTCTGGCAAAGAGTACATCACTCCCGTATGCT